TGATTCCATCTTAACGACCAGGAAGGTGACGGAAGCCATCCTGAAGCGCGGTTCTGAGCCCACATATATAGGAAGGGTAATGACTCCTTCAACTGGGACGGGCTGGTTATCAAACCCGTATATTGGCCCTTCATGCTTCTAAAGCGAGCTCGGATTTAGCTGCATCTTCTGAAAGCAACCCCAGTATAGGATATCTGGTGAACTGCCCGTGTCAATAAACACCTTATTGACATTATGATTGCCTATATGAACTGTTGCCACAAAGGGATCTGCATGGGGCATCATAATTTCGGGCTCTCCTTCTGTGCGCTTGTAATCTGCCGGGCTGAATGTAATGGGCGTATTTTCCCATTCTGCTTCCTCAAACGGCCGTTTAAATGGTCTGTTTTTGTTGACGGTCATCACCTGTTGAGCATATGCCTTGCGAGCTCGGGCGCTTTGGCCCCCTGAGTGAACACCACCCGATATCATGTTTATTGTACTAGAAGGTGGGGGTATCCCAGCATAACCTACCCCTTTTCTGTCTTTTTGATTCGGGGCAGTAGTTCTCGGTCCCTGCCCTCTCCTGTTGAAAGGACGTCCTCGGTACGCTCTGCTCTGTTCAGAAGGATACTGGTTATCCTAATATGCATCCTGCGTCCCCCCATGCTGGTACCTCTGTCCTTGAGGTCAGTCATACGCCTGTACAAAATGGGTTTGAGTGGGTTGCTGGGTGTGAGGCTTCTGGACATACCCTTCTAGCTTCTTGTTACGAGCCAAAAACTCTAACTCGTCCTTCAAGTGTTGGCAGTCCTCGGTATTGTGACCATATACACGGTGGTAGTCACAATGCTTGCTTTTATCTGCCCTCGGGGAATCATGTAGTGGGGGTGGAGGTCTCCGAACCCAGTGCTGAATTTGTGCCAGGATTTGAGACCTGGGCAAGGTCAAAGGAATGTAACTGGCATATTTCGGGAACTCAGCTGGTTTCCCCCATTGCTCACCGACCTTCTGTTTCTTCTTTTCTTCTCTTCTCGGTTGTTGTTCTTGGCCTCTGTTCGGCTTATCATCAGCTCGTCACTTGGACGACTGAAAGTCCTCTGACAGTATGAAGCTGGCTGACCTGTCATTCACCTCATTCCACGTTTTCGGTGGGTTTTCAAGCAGGTCGTCTAGGAACCGGCCACGCTTCAACCCATGCAACAGGGCGGACAGGCAGATTGTGTCCGGGACATTATCAATGTCCAATGTGGCTTTGTTGAACCGTTGCATGTAATCTCTCAAAGACTCCCCTTCCTTCTGGTTAACCTGCATCAGCTCAGTTGCTGTGGGTTTGATCTCCCTTTGGCTTGCGAATTTGTTAGAGAACAACTTGGCGAGCTGGGAAAACGAATCTATTGAATGCCTAGGGAGTTTGTGATACCATCTTCGGGCTGTTGATTTCAGTGTCGCCGGGAATACTTTGCACATCATAGCATCGTTGGCGTTTTGAATCCTCATGATGGCTTGATAGGTGTGTAGATGTTCATCCGGGTCTTTCGTGCCATCATATGTCTCTAGGTGGGGAATTTTGAATCCCTCTTGATATGGTTCTGCCGTGATGGATAGGTTCAACGGAGCACTATCCAAATCCAAAGTTTGCTGATGCGACCGGGGGCTTTTCAGCTCGTCAATGGATTTCTGTACATCCTGCAGTTGCCTTTCAAGGTCTGCGTTCTTTCTCATCAATTCTTCACTGTATTTGGACGAGCTGGGCTCGATATTCAACTTCCCACTTCCCCTCGGCCTGGTCGGCACTACTATATTGCTTAGAGCGGGTGAGTTTCTAGTCGCCACAACCACAGCTGGTTGCGCATCCCTATTCAGCAAAGGAATCAGGGGGTCATCAGGGACTAAGCGGGCAAGGATTCTTCCCATTGCCATTTTGAGAACTCTGGTTCTCTCTTCGAGCTCGGTTGTCCGAGCAGGTTCTGTTGACCTTTCAGGTCGTTCACGCTATGCATTGTTCGGTCTGGCAGATCTTTGTCTCGTTCCTGTTGGAACTTGGAACTGTTCAGGCTGGGTTGCATACCCAGTTGGTGTTCTTTCATCATCCGTCTCACTTAGGTGATCCTGTTCGACTCCTCCTACAAAAAGATTTCTTGGCATCGGCCTAAAGTCATTCAATCCGGCCTCAGATACGTGATCGTCCTCCTGTTCGTCTATTTCATTTCTTGGGGGGCGTTCTCCTGTAAAGGTACGGACCATTTTGTCTTTCAGCAGGTTAAGTCACACAGCTTTTTGTTCGAGTTCCCACAGACGGCGCCAATGTTTCGGCAGCTTCGCGATCCAACACTGTTGAAGCCCTCAGCTGCTTCTACACCTGAAAATCCCGAGGTTGTTTCCTCGGGGAAAACACTCCGACGCTCAAGTCAGCAATACTCAGTATTCTAGAGAGAGATGCTCTCAAGGAGTGATAGATGCTCTCAAGGAGTGATTGCAGAGAGAGAAGCGTAGAGATTCATTACCTTCATCGGAGGTAGTTGGGGGTATTTATAGCCCTTTGGTGCTGACATACATCTACACGTGTAAGCAGCCCATTGGCCCACGTGGTGCTGGTCACGTGGGTATGCTTGTACCGATGCTCCTTCAGCTTGGGCTAATAGGTGGTACTCTAGGCCCGTTATGCATAGTCCTGTTTGGGCGTTGGGCCTGCTGGGCCTATTCCAACAGGTCCATTAACATCTTTGTACCAAAAAAGAATACATAAGGATAGCTTAGATGGCGCAAATGGGGTTAAGAAACCAGGCGTGGTCCCTTGGTCAACTGCTGTTAACTAGGTGCTGACTTGGTGCTAACGATAGCTTAGATGGCGCTAATGAAGTTAAGAAACGACTGACATGGTATGCAAAATACCTTTTTAACCCTTCACACGTATAAAAAACCCGATGCTTTCTAAATATATTCATAAAAAATTGCAAAAAACCTCAAAAAAAAAAAAAACCACTGATTTGGGTCTCTAATTTGGGAGAACCAACTCCGAGCTAAGAAGTGAAAAATTGAGGTTCTCAATTTATTATAATATTATATACACTTTGATTTTCAATTTGAAGAACAATGGTGCATGTATTGGTTGGCAAATTTGGAAGAACCGCAATAGTGAGGT